CTATGGAAATAGATCAATCTAGTCTGAAAAAGAATATGTGGTATGATTATGCTTCCATAACATTCATTTGTAATGTCTAGTTCTGTGGTTTGTGTGTGTGTGTATGTACAATGTATGAGGAACTGACAACTGGAAGAGAATTGTACTTATATTGTGGGATAGCAGAGACTTATGGATAGAAGGCAAGTTAGGGTCAAAGTAAGGGACCATTCCAATGAAGCTTTCCATATATAACACAGACTAATTTGTACGGCAATGAGTTCTCCATGCTAAAAGTACTAAAAATGAGACTGAGTAGCTATGTGCCATGGATATTGCAAAAAGGACTCTTGATTCTTGAATAAGGAGGAGGGTTGTTTGGTTATTGAAAATCTTGAAACACTGAGATTCTTTAATCCTATGACTCCATGACTCCTTCATAACATCATTTTATTTTTTTTTAAATATATTTTTTTTAATTTATACAAGTGCTGGGTTACAGGCCAGATGTGCGGGAGGGTGAGAGGATTCACGAGAGACAGAGTGGGGAACAGAACAGGCAGACTGACAAAACACACTGCTGAGGGGAGCAGCAGGCGAGACAGGAGAGGTCTGCCGCATCATGTGGGATTCTCGCGGCCGGCTGGGACGGAACCTGTGTTGCAGAGGCTGCGAACAGCTTCACAGTGCGGCACTCAATCGCCTGCTCCACTAGCGAGGCCCTAACATCATTTTAAAGGAGTGAAAATTTTGCCTCAGCTATTCACAGACTCTACTAAACAACCCAGTCCTTTTGACCATCCACCAAGGTTACCCTTAACTCAGTGGTACACTGGAAAGAGTAGAGATGCTGCAGGATTCCAGCTCAGTAATGTGACCTTGGGCAAGGGACTTAACTAGCATGAGTTTAATTTTCCTCTTCTGTAAATTCTGCACAAGGGGCTATATTTTCCTTACTGTGCAGGAAGGACAATTAAGTGAGAGAAGAAAAAGAAAGGCCTTGGAACATGGTCATGTTCACTTCCAAGTAGGACACAGTTTTCCCTGTCTAACTATCACTAGTATCTCTAAATTGCTGGTGTAGGTGGCAGAACTTTTGAAGCCATGATTGTATTGCTTTCAGTAAATATGAAAAATAATTAGAGAGAGACAGAGACAGAGAAACAGAGAGAAAACAACAAATATTTATAGTGCGACTATTATGTGTCGATCCCTGGGGATAAAAAGTTGCTCCTACAAAGGCCATATTGAAGAAGGCAACTAAACTCACACCTGCAGAGTTATAAAATGAGAACCACAAGCCACAATGGTGTTTCAGAGAAAATAAATGAAAGAATAGAGGAGAAAGCTATTCATTCCAAAATGAGATTAAGGGACAATTTCTTGGAAGGGTCATTCAAACTTGACATCTAAATATGTGTAAGATTTTAAAAAGGAGAGTCAGAAGTTGGGAGATGGAGGGAAAAATAAAACAACGTTCATGGCAGAGGGGAAAATAAGATAAAATTCCTTGAGGAAGGGTTAGAATGGAAAACATGGAGGGTAATTATTTGGAGAATGACACTGGAAAATGTATCCTCTCCACATGTCCCTAACTCTCTTTAATACGACTACCAGGAGTTCAGTGGCTAATTTCTCAATCTTTTTAAATTAGCAAGGGATGCAGGGAGAACAAAAGAGCAGGCTGTGTCCATCCGAGTGACCTGCATAGGCCATGTGTACTGATGGCTTCATCAGTAATCTAAGGTACTGAGAAGGGGCAAGCGAGAGGATGCAAATCAGAAAATGTCTCCTCACACAGCTGAAGGTCCCTTGGGCAAAGACCTTTCTAGAGAAGCAAAGGACTTTGTGGTCAATAACATAAACTCTCTAAGATGTTTTATTTGGACTGACCAGGGGAGAATGATTTTAAGGTCCCGCTTGCACCGTTTCAAATGTATTCATTTCAGACGGAGCTGGGCCTTCTAAACTCAACGGGGGCCCAACAGCTGATTTGGAATGTCGGAGCTGTTTTTCCTCGGTTGGAGTGGAGTCACAGCTCCCCCTTCTGGGAGCTGAAGTGCCATCCAGCCTGGGAAAAGCCTGAGTGGAAAGGCTCTATTGCAGATGGCCCTGAAAACCCATGTTGTTGTTTTTTTTTTATCAGTGTCTGCCTGCACCCCAAAACCAGCATCTAGAAGTGTGGGAGCACAGTTTTGCATGTCCCTGATTTCTGTCTTATTCGGGGCCTATTTTTCAAGGGGTTTATATTTCCCTTCCCTAGTGATGTTTTTATATAAGGGAACACTATTTAGTCCAGAGATTGCAATTTTCTCTTGGGGAATAGAAGAAGGAAATGTTTGTGGATCTCTGTGTGCACTGTGTCTAAGGTACGGGTGCTTGCGTGTCTGAGCCTAATGTCATGACAGCAATATATGTAATTGTACAGGGGAAAGATTCTCACAAATATAAATAAATTAATTTGTCTGAAGTATGGTGGCTGGGCGTACACTTGGCTCTCTGGAAAGCAAAGCATTCCTTAACACAAAGTTCAGGTACAGTCCAGATGCCCTGCTGGATTCAGTCTACTGGTCATTGTTTTTACTTGCTTATGTGTAATTCTCTAAAATCACTAGAAAATGAATATATGTCCACTGAGTGTGTGTGTGTGTGTGTGTGTGCACGCGCGCATGTTTGTAGAGTGATTGAGGCATTGAACTCTTTCTCTCCAGGGTCATGTTTCCAGATGGAAGAGCTTTGAAATGCATCCCTGAAATAAGAAGTGTGATGAGGGATGACAAGTGATGGTCTTAAAGGGGAACATGGTGGCAGGGTAGGGGTGGACGGCAATACAGAGGCCCTGGGCAGTGTGGTGGAGTGAAAAGAACATTGTTCTGGGTGTCAGGCCACAGAGGTTCTAGTCCTGGGCATACGACCAACTCTCTGGACAATGCTGGGGAACTCTCGTCCCTCTATGGGCCACCAGGTCCTGCCTGTCTGCTCTTTAATATTCATCAGCTTCAATTGTTTATGAATTGAAAAAGAAAAAAAAAAACTGAGAGTAGTTCCTAACGTGGGGTCTCCTCCTCTACTTTCCCACCGCCACCCAAAATGAACCAGGGAGCTCTAGGCCGACATGCATTTCCTGAAGCATATTCCTTGTGGCGAGTGCAGGCTTCAGCTCGAGGTGTCAGTCTCCAGCCAGAATGGTGCCTCTGCGTGCCTGCAGGTAGCATCACCCACCTGCCAGGGCAGCTTCCTACAAACACATGTTTGCTGTTATCTCCCCCCAGAAAGTAAATATACAGATATATTTTTAACACAAATATATGTTCACTCGTTTGCCCCTCAATGCCTTTTCAGCGGGCCCTTCCAGTGGGGGCGGACAGGCTCTGTCCCAGCTCTCAGCCCTTGTCCTCCCCGAGACTCGCCGCCTGAGAGCAGAACGGCTGCCTCTTACCTTGGGAAAGTAACAGCTGCCGAGCCTGGAAGCCATGCTAACAGCAGTAAAACTCAGCATTTTTGCTGAGTGTGGCAAGCCTTTAAGAGGCAGCCGGGAATGAAATCAATGGCTGGCCCTAGAATCCAAACCCAGCAAGACCTAGCCAGAGTGGCCAAGGGACTCACCTAGAAAGACCCTTAGGAGGTGAAGGAAAAAGGAAAGAGGGACTTGACCAGAGCTGTCTTCCTCACTGAGATGCTTTCCACTGCCCCCATGCCCTTGGCAGTATGTTGGAGCCACACAAGAGATGTGAGGTGCAAACCGACAGCAGTTTAAGTCAATTCCTGCCACATTCTGTCATGAATCCCCCACCCACAATCCATTCCCAAATTGTAGGTCTCCCTGAGTATTGAAACACACACACACCCCCACCTCTGTCCCTTCTCCCACTATTCTCTTAACTCCAATAGAGACCAGGAAGGCACAGTCCAGGAAGAGAATCTCTTGGGAATCTCCCAAGACAGTCTGAAATGGGGAAGGGAAGGAGGCTCTGTCTTAGGGAAGTGCCCCATCCATCTCTTGCCTTACTACCCAATGAAATCTTGCCCCCATACGAAATTTTCTCAGTGATCCTCTGTAACTATGATGGATGAGCAAGTCTCTAAGGACTCTTTTTCCTTTCCCTTGAGGGGGGTCCAAGCAAACTTGCCCAGATTCTCCCCCAAAGCACCAGAAGCAAGAGGTGCTGCTATGTTATTCTGATTACAATCAGAGAGGAAGGTTCCACTCTATTCCAGACTTGCCAAGCCCCAGATAAGGAGGCCACTGTTGTCACCCACTACCCAGTGACTCCAAATTCCCATCAGAATCCTGGAGTCTGCCCAGTGTGGAATTTAAAGTGACAGTGCCTCCTCGCCTCTGGGCTTGGCCGCTTCTCCCTCATATTAAACTGTGAGTCCAAGTGTAGGAGGTCTCCATCATTTGGAGGAATTTTCCTTCAAGGGTACTAATATTGGGCTAAATAAGGGACCATCCTGATCCCCATAATCTTCCCCAAACCCCAAGTCTGGAGCCCCAAGAGGAAGTCCACAGAGGGCTTCCCGATGGCTACGTGATCCTACAGGCACGATTCCATTCTCTGTAAGCTGGAGAGACCTAATTAAAAAGGCACATAAGCACACACATACAAACACATACGCATAAACATGCACACAGACATCGTGCCTTAAGTAGGTTATAGGACCTCTCTTCACCCCCCTCCCCTGCACACACTCACATGCATCACAAACACACACATCAAACGCAACGACGCCGCACACGCAAACACACACTAGCACCACATCAAGTTCCCAACATGGTACACACGTCGGGAGCGCGCGGGGAGCACACACGCCACTTACTAAAACCCGCATTTAACCCTTCGCGCACCAAGATAAGGGACCCCCTCGCCGGAACCTGAGAGCACTCGGAGATGGCGGGGTGGGCGAGGGAAGAGCAGAAAGGTGCGGGGAGGGGCGCGCAGGCAGAGGCGCCCCGAATGCGGTCCCGGCCGCCTCCAAGGGCAGCGGGGCTGCGGGTGCTGCGCCCGGCGCCGCCTTACCTGGAGTCAATGTCCGTCTTTGGCGGAGAGCTGCGGGCGGACGCTTTTTATTCGGCTCGGTGGGAACTTGGGAGAGCCCTGCGTCCAGCTCGCATACCGGGAACGGCGCGGGGACTGCAGGCGTGGGGGTACCTGGCTTCTAGCAGCCTGGCTCATACTCAGCCCTCAAGTCCCCTTCGCTGGTCCCGAGGACAGGCATGAATCCCGGCTCCGGAAGGCGGTCACTACTCCCTCTGCCTCCCGGCGCTCTCGCTCGCCCTCTCGCTCGTTCGCTCGCCTGCGCGTTCCTGCTCCCCCCGCACCAGATCACTTCGCAGCCGTGGGGACCTGGAGCACGGCGGCTAGCGAATGGAGAGGGAAGTCCAAGTGCGCCGCGGTCTCCAGGCGGGGAGAAGCGGAGGCCGGGCTACGCGGGAGGAGGGACTTACCCAGCGACGGGCGAAAATGAATGGGGGAGAGACGGCCGGGGGGCGGGGAGGGAGGAGCCGAAAGCTGGGTTTTATTCTGAGGAGTGTTTTGTACATCTTTAGGCAGAGGAGGAGAAGGAACAGGAGGAGAGAAAGGAGGCCTCTGGAGAGGGACGGGCGGCCTGGGTGGGCTGAGGCTGAGCCATTGGGGGTTCTCGCGGGCCTGGGGATGCGGTGGCACGTCTGGAAGGATGTGCACCTAAAGGGACTGTGTGTGGTGTGTCCGCAAACCCCGCATCCTGCTGTTCCAAAGCTTGTCTGTAGCTGTGTGCGTAGCGAGTATCTGAGTGTTTCTGGGTATGCGGGTGCTGCGTGTCTGAGTCTTCTTATCCGAGTGTGGCTTTCTGTCGGGGGAGGTGCCTGTGTGGGTCCATTTGTATCTCCGAGTCTCTCTATGAGTATTGAAGACTGTTTCTCTGTATGTGTAGGCTTGAGCCCACGTAATCTCCCAGAATTAAGCAAGTGCTTCTCTACGTGGGCAGGCTGTAGGAGTGAGAGCTGTAGGGACTTAAAGTTCTCTGGATACCACTGGAGGCAGAGAGGGGCGAGGGTACTGGGGCTAAGACGTTAATATAATATAGAGAATCGAAGATGACAAATTTAGTCTGCCAGGCACACTGGGATTGCTGACAGGGGGTTCTCCCAAAAACAGAAAAAGAAGGCCTTACGGGATCTGAAGTCTCACGCAGGGCACATTCTGTATGGTTGCTTACTTTGCTGCTTCTTTTTCTTTCTTTCTTTTAATTTAAACCAAATCACTAAAACAAATAAATAAACGGAATCACTAAATGCAGATTCCTATCCCTGGAAGCTTATGGAGGCGCAGGAAGCATCATGAAATTACCAGATGGAGGGGCAGGGAGCATTATGGAAGAAGTGATAAGAAATTTAAAGAACCCAGATTTAGTAAAAGTGTAGTTGAGATGGGTGAGTATCTTTAGGTAGCTAAAGATCCCATAGCTATGTGATCCTGGCCAAATTACCTATCTCTTAAGCGTCTCAATTCCTCATCCGTAGAACATGATAATAAAACTACCTACCTAATAAGGTTGCTGTAAAATTTTAATGAGTTAATGTATGTACAAAACACTTAGAATACTCCCTGGCACCTAGTGAGTGTTCAAGTCATGTTACCTGTAATTATGATTGCTATTGTTATTAATGTTATTATTATCTGAAGGGTGATAGGAGAAAGATGTAACCAGGGAGACCCATAAGGATCTAGGGGGTGGTAGACTAATTGGAGGAAGGGGATTCACAGAACAAAATGGAAAAGAAAGGCTTGAGCAATCAAGAACCTAAGAAAAAAATATTGAATTGAAAAGGAGGTTGGGGAAACAAGAGCAGGAAGAGAACCAGTCAGGATAAGCCTATGTCTCGGGAGGGCAGAACAGAGGTGAGGGAGGCGAGGAGAGATGGAACCGTATTAAAGCTCCCTCTGCTTCTATGTAATCCAAACGAAGGACAGTCAGCACCACGGACAGCTCTCCAGCCACTGACCAACACAGGGATTTTTCTGGTGTAAATTCTCCCTTTCGCTTGGAAAATTTTCTCCTTCCCTGGGCTTCTGCTCTAGGTTCAGATCCTCGGCAGTGGTCCCTGAGCCAGTTCTGACTTTGATTCACACCATAAACAAATACACTCACCATACACACTGCTTCTTCCACTCATTTCAGTATGAAGCCCAAAATTATTGTCTCCAATTTCCCCTCTCCTTCCTTTTTTCTGTCTACTCTTCCCCTTCCTTTACACTCATCTCCCTTTCTCCAGGTTTCTACATCATCCTCCAGCATATGTCTCCTTGACTGATACTAGGCTCTGCTGGAAATGGAGTTCTGGACTCAGTCTCAAACAACCTGGCTAGGCAGCTTCAGAGGTTGGCATAGAATGGCTCCTTCTAGATCTTGCCTCTTTATTCATCTCCCAAGATAGGCAGCATTCCATATGCCTTGGAAAGTGGGGACTTAACTGGGTGGAACATTTTCCTGCCTTTCTATCCATGCTTCAAACCATCTATATTACCTTAGGAAAAACAGAACTTTCCCAATTTCTACTATTGTTAGAAAAAGGAAGGGGAGAGAGAATTCTGAACTTTTACTATGCACCATACTTCATTTGGGGCATCCCTAGGTTGTCTTTTATACTTCCCCAAATGCCGTGAAGCATTAGATAGGTAAGACTATTCCATTACTACAGCAGAGGAAATTGGAGCTTGGAAAACCCGAGTAGCATGCCAGGATATAGTAGGGCAATGGAGTCAGGAATTTCACACCCAACTCTAAGTCCAAAATTTTTATTACGGTCTCTGGAAATAATGGGGAAATGAAAGCATGATTGGAAGAACTTAGAATTTAATGGGCTCACTGCACCCAACCCTAAATATGAATCTAAATGGCTGAGACCATTACATCTTCTGTGCCAATGGAATATTTATCACCCTTATCCCTGGAGGAGGAAGTGAAGGCCTTGCCTGGACAGATTTAAAACTCACGCAAGCCTTGTGGTTACTGAGTTTTGAGTAAAACTCCAACCTTTCCTGGTCTCAGCTAATTTGCATTTGGCTTTATTTAGCTTCCCTATTTCTATGAAGAAAGGCTATGAAGGCCATTTTTAAAAGTCTCCAAAGACTCCTTGGTCATCAGAAAAGTTCTCAGTGCAAAGCATTCCTAATGACTTATGGAGAAAGCAATTGGAACCATATGGATAACATTTCTGCAGAAATACACATGGGTGGGAAAAGGTTTAGAGGCCAAAAATATATTTCTTTTTTTTTCTTCTTTGCCAAAGAAAGAACATTTAAGGCAGCTTGAGATATGTGAGAAATGTCTTGTTCTTTCTTTGGGGTGGGTGTTGGTGAGCAGCTGCTTGCTGCTTCCACTGAATTTACCAAGGGCTTGCATAGGAAGGAGATGCCAAGGGATTAGGGTAGATTTAGGAAAGAACTTCCTGTCTATAGATCTTGGGTGATACTACAACACCACATTCCCCCAGGGATTGGTTCTTTTATAGTCTTCACGACATGATCGTTTGCTAAATATTGGAGCATATTCTTAAAGTTACAGACCTTTTTGAGAACCTGATGATTTCTAAGGATGTTCTCTCTTGTGAAAAACATATTTTTAAAATTCCCAGAAGGGGCCTCCCTGGTGGCGCAGCGGTTGAGCGCTGGGTTGCGAAGCTGCCCGCAGCCTCTGCAGCGCCGGGTCTATCCCAGGCGGGGCTGCCAGAGAGGGTCCCACATGGCTCGCAGACTTCCTGCCACCCGCTGCTCCCCTCAGAAGTGTATTTAGTCACTCTGTCTGTTCTGCTCTCGGCTCTGGCTCTGGTGAATTCTCTCACCCTCCCGTGCCTCGGACTATACACAGTGCTTGTATAAATAAATAAATAAATCTTAAAAAAAAAAAAAAATTCCCAGAAGAATCTTCATGATGTCTCATGGAATCTTTCTTTGACAATATCACTCAGGGATATTTATGAATACATACTCCTCCCTCAGAAACTCTAAAATAGATACTTCTCCGGTTTCCAGTCTGACCTTGGATTTTATAGGTTGTTTCATTTAGATTTGAGGTTAAGAAATTAGAAAGACAAAGCCAATGTGGAAACCAATAAGTGGGTAAACACCTTTTTTTCTAGCAATCAGTAAGAAATACAGAGAAAATTTTAGCAATGAAATGGAGGTTCTCCTTTCTCGTCCTTAAATAAAGATAAGATTTAGCCCTATTTGTGCAGGACTCTCAGCCACCTTCCACTGTCTCAAAAGCTTAAGTTTACTGCTCCTGTCAAATCTCAGTGGACTTAAAATCCCTTAATCTGGTGCCTTGGGTTCAGAACAGACTGAACAACTACAGAAAGAGGCCTGCATTTGTTAAGTGGCTGCTGAATGTGAGCTGGTGTGAAAGATTTGGAAATAAATATCTTTCCCAGTCCCTTCTTCGAGAGTCTGAAGCCCTCTACTGAGTATGCTTATCCCTAAATAATCACAGTGCATCAAAGAATGCAGCTGACACATACTGTAGGGTCTATAAGAGATATTGCAAGAGCTAAGAGGAAGAACATTGCCATTATATGAAGTTTAACATTTAGCAGCTATCAAGGGCTAATTTTATGTTGTTTTGAAAACAGTTTTAATAAGAACTAATATGTGTTGAGTAAATGCAATATATGAACAATATTCAAACTTTCCATGTCTCTCATCTAGGTTTTTATGAACATTTCCCAATTGAATCAAAATAGCATATGACATTGAGTGTCTGTATCTCCCCTGTATCCCCAAACCTGCTGGGGAAATGTATTTAATTCTAACTCTTTATGCTTTATTCTATTTACCCAAAACTTGGAGGATGTTTAATTGCATACCCAACTACCAGAGACAGAATGTTTCTGCCCGGAATTCAATGCCCTCCATCATGTGGTCCCTGTGGTCTATACTACCTGATTTATACCTAGTTATCACATCTATACTCTTTTAGCAAAAGTTAAAGACTCATAAGTCCCTAGTTCCCAGATTGTTCTCACTATGCATTCAGACTGACCCCTCTACTGCCATGTGGTTCTTTCCCCAGCAACATTTACTTCTGCATGACCAGATATGACTCCTCCCTAAACACTTAGTTCCCATACCATATCCTCTACCACTTCTATTGGAATGGAACATATTGTAAATGAAGTACAGGAGGTTGTGCATGATCGTTCTCTTTAATATCATGGCTCCTCCTCCAATTCAGCCAGATTGACCCCCTTTCAATTATCAGTGTTTGCAAAATTCCATTATGCCTCTAAGCCTTGGTGTTAGCTGATTCCTTGGTCAGCAGCCACTTGCTATTATTAGCCAGGTCCCGCTCACCCTCCAGAATCAGGGTATATGTCACTTCTCTTAACTTCAGAGC